AAAAAGGACCCCTACCCAAACCACTACAATTTTGGGATGCATCTGGTAGCGTCACATTTATTAGGAATAAAGACTTCTGAGTTCTGGTGCATTTGTGCGTGCGGCGGTTATTATGTTACCACTATGCTGTATCTAGTTTGTTTCTCTGCTCCAACACATCGGATTTGAATGGATGGTTGAACAGGCCTCTACAGGACTGGAACAGGTAATTAAACGGGTAAATAAAACTTGCAGGATAGCGGCCCTCAAGAACCAGGATTGCCCACGACAAACCTTGTTGGGATATCTGCAGATCTGAAGAGTTTCCGAATGTCTCTGTTTCTTTTCTAATAATTGCTTGTTCTCCAAAAGTTGATGTCAATGTTGTTGTTTTTTTGTGTCAGTTAGATACACTTCAGTGTTGAGTCATTCATCTTCTTCAGTTCACACAGAACAACCTACAAAAGGCTTGTTTATTTGTTTCTACACCCTCCCTGCTGAACTGAGCTGATGATTGATGAAGTCTTCAGCTTCATGAGTTTGGATTCTGACCCTGGTGTCATCCACATGCCTGAAACATCGGAATCAGTGTTGTTCAGTAATCCACAGTCCACTTTCTCCATGTCGATTTTTGCAGCGATGTCTGACACTGGACTACATCTGGTGTTGGACTTTGAACACATTTTACACAATAAGCTAAGATGGAGATAAGGTATTCATATTGTTGGAGGTAGCAGACTTGCTGCTGCTGCTGAGCCTGAGTGATGTTCCTTCCTGATGTATTTCTACAAGTCCATGTATGCATGGTGTGGCCTCTCCTGCTAAAGTTCATTTGTCTTTGATTTAACTTGCTGGCCTGGAGGACGGCGGCACAAAGTCTCAGAGAACAAAAATTTCTGTTGATAAAGGCAGACTGGGTGTATCTGCAGACACAGCACATTAACCCTAATGAAGTACAGTCACAGAGTGGGTAATAACAGTAATCTGCTTCAAGGCAGCTCATCACTGCACGAGTTTCACTGTTTTACTGGTCATGAGTAATGAGACGAGAAAGGATACACAATTAATATCTGATTGGCTAAATATACATGCATTCAGGCAACAAAGTCACAAACATATATTTGACTTTGTCAGCTGGATATTTTGTGATGGAGTTAAAACCTGAAGGCCTTTTTAAATAAGGATTACAGACTAATTGTAACACTAGGCAGCTGTTGCTGTTGGTTACAGAGTAATGGGGAGAATATCTGCATGTTAACCGTGATTTCAAATGAAATGTGTGTCAGTTACACAACCACTCAACAAACTGTTCACATTTTAATAATATGTTTGATTATTTTCTGTTTTTATAACAACCGACTGTATTTTGTTATTACTGGGGAGAATAAAGATCTGATAGCTTTATCTTTAGATATGTATTAAGTCTATGAATAATGCAATTACTGAAAAAGCTTAAAGTGCTGTGTTGTGTGCAAGTTGTCCAAAGACATTTAACTTACATGCTTTGTTGATAAAATTGCAGATTCCTCTTTCCAATGTTGGAACACTGGGCACTGTGTTGTTATTGAGTCAGTCTGGATGTTGGTATCAAATTGGCCATAGTCCCCAACTCTTTCCAATATGTTCACTCTCACTGAGTTCATATAGTAGCATTCCATCAATGTTCTTGAATGTCTTGTTCCAGTCGCTCATTTCTCATCAGGGTGTCTTTGTTTCCCAACATCGGACACAGACCTTGTCAATCCAGGCGACAGCTGAGTGGACATGGCATCATTTATGTCTCTGGCTACAGTTGGCACCGAGGCTTGAAGCCGTGATTTCTGTTCCAAACTATATGTTGACTGCCCATGTGGAAAATTAAGGTAATCTGGGTACTTATTTTACCTAACATTTTTGTAAACATCCAGCTTACCTCAGGTCCTCCACCAGAAGCTTGGGAACCTGAGGGTTTTACACAGTATCTCAGCTGTTCCTGTATTTATATGGATGGATCGAATGGGGCAGAGGGAATCCGGTTCCGTGGCCTCAGGATTCCATCTTTACTATTTGCAGATGATGTGGTCCTGTTGGCGTCATCGTGCTGTGATCCTCAGATCTCACTGGAGCGGACACTGTACCAGTCTGCTGTGGTGAAGAGGGAGCTGAGCTGTAAGGCAAGCTGTTTACTGGTCACTCTATGTTGGGTAGTGAAAGAACAAGTTCGTGGATACAAGCAGTCGAAATGAGTATTCTTTGCAGGGTAGCTGGACACCCCCTTAGAGACAGGGTGAGAAGTTTCAGTTATCTGGGAGAGACGAGTAGAGCTGCTACCCCTCCACATCTAGAGGAACTAGTGGAGGTGGTTCATCTGGTAGGGATGTCTCCCTAGGGAGGTGCTTCAGGCATGTCCAACTGTGGGGGAGACCCTGGGGAAGACCCAGGACACACTGGAGAGACTATGTCTCTCTGCTGGTCTGAGGACACCTTGTAATCCTCCTAGAAAAACTGGAAGAGAAAACTGGGGAATTAAGGTCTGGACCTCCCTATTTAAGTTGCCGCCCCACAACTCAATGCTGGAACCAGCAGTGGATAGATTTAATTCAATTCAATTCAGTTTATTTATATAGCACCAAGTCACAACATACATTGTCTCAGGGCACTGTACAAAAAAGAACAATCTAAAGAAGAAACCAGCAGATTGTGTTGAATCACTTCATCACAGTCTCCCATCCTGAGCAAACGGTGGAGAGGAAAAACTCCCTGCTAATCAGGAAGAAACCTCCAGNCCTGAGCAAACGGTGGAGAGGAAAAACTCCCTGCTAATCAGGAAGAAACCTCCAGCAGAACCAGGCTCAGGACAGGCGGCCATCTGCCTCGACCGGCTGGTTGGAGGACAGGAAAGAGACACAGACAAACACAGAAGAACTGATCAATGTGCACCTTCTTCTGAAAAAGAGACAAAGAAAAAACATGTTATTGATAGATTATGTAAACCAGGACATCCTGATGAGAAATGGCTACTGGAACAGGACATTCATGGACCAGGGTAGAGAACAGAACACTGTTGGAATGCTACTATCGGAGCCCAATAAGAGAAGATATATGGGGGACTGTGGGAACCTTGAAACCCAACAACATTTACTCAGAAACAGTTTTGGACCCAGTGGCCTAGCATCCAAAGGAGGTTTCTGCCATCAGATGTTGATTTAGGAACAACAAAGATGTCACAGCAAGGGTTGTCTAGAATGATGAGTCGGGGGGATCAATCATTACCATACCTAAGAATGGGTCTGCAACAGATCTGAATTGTTACCACACTGTTAATTATGCACCTTTCTAAGCTGTAAGTTTGATACTTGAAAAGTTCTGAACCATCTTTGAGTTTCTGATCTCTATGGGTTTAATGTCTCAGAGTGAATCCATTCCACCTGCTGCTTTTATGATTTGGTACATTTCAGGCTTATTTCTGTTGTTTTGTGCTGTTACTGCAACCTCCCTGCTGCCCCCCACCCCCTTGTCAATCAGCTCATGTGTGTGTGTGTGTGTGTGTGTGTCTGTGTGTGCGTGTGTGTGTGTGTGTGTGTGTTGGTTTCACTAGGCCCCCTCCCCAGTGAACCCCAGTGCGTTGGACCGTACAGCAGCCTGGCTGTTGAATATGAATGTGCAGTTTTTAGACCATGAAGGGATGGAGCCAGAGTCACTGAGACACACAGACCATCTAACTGAGGTGGAGAAGGTAACCTTTGACCTTTAGAAACCCCTCTTTTAACAAACCCCATGAAACTTCTCCTCTCCACTAATCTTTTCTTGCTCTATCACTCATGATTCCTCATCACACAGAATCTCTTCTACACTTTATTCTCTGTTGGTTTTCCCCACTTTAGCCTTCTTCTTGTTCAGGTTCAAGAGGTTTAGATCTCTCAGCTAACAGAGAGCAGAATCCATTAGTCATCATGACAAGTAAAACTGGAGCTAGACCAATGATCTGCAGGGGCCACACCCAGCTTTATCAATCTGTTGTTTTGTTTACAATTTCCTTTTAGATTCAAAGTATTTTCAAATTGAATTGTTCATCAGGCTGCTGGACAGTTCATGTGGAAACTCATTGGTTACTTATAAAAGGTACTTTGTTCAAACATGACCCTTGCTGTCAGAAACATTTACCTGACTTGAATAATTACTATAATATTTACAAAATTTTAGAACTTACATTATCCTTTTATTTTTACAAGTTTTGAATGCAGTGAGTTTAACTAAACTGGTTAGAATTTCTTCCCATCCAAACACGCCATCACTCAACTCAGACAGATCTGTGTGTGTTCTGTTGTTTGCGTGTCAGAATGAGAAAAAGGTGCTTTCTGCTGATTTTTCTGCCTCCAAATCTCCACAGCTGTTTTGTCTCTGCTTCATGTTTCTGTGTTTTGGTTGGCTTCCCCCCTCCTCCTTGGCTTTTTTTTTCCATTTTTAATGAGAAGGAAGTTGTCATCTTAACAGCACATAGTTTCTGGGAGGGAGAACAACCAAAGAAGGCAATAAGTTGAGTCTGAACAGAAATACTGCTTCCTCCTGATATAACAGAAGGAACCCAGAACATGCAGTAGTTATGTTGCACACAGAATATATAAAGATGGTCTTTATCAGATGTCTAGTTCATTTTATAACCAAAGATAACTGCCAAAAATGCTTTTTCTGAATCATTAATTAGCATGAACTTGTATAACAGATATGTGAGAGTTTGAAAAGTAACAAAGAGGAGTTCATTACTGATCCACTCTGTGTGCAAATAGCTCTACAAGTTCATAGAATTAAAGACAAAACCTTTAGAGACTTTGTTACTGAAGGAACAAATTTTAAAATCACATGAACATCTGGTCCAGAATACATAAAGTTGTGTTTATGCTGATAAGTCCCTGATTCGTTAGGTGCACATGACCCGAGGAGGTTTAACTTCTGCAGTCCAGACTACATTCTTTCCAAGAAAAGCTGTTTTAATTTCAGCTGGATAAAACCAAATCACACATTCCAAGCATGGCTGCAAAGTAAACCAGTTTGTCTCCCTGCAGTCCTCATCATCTTTACCTCCACAGACAGTTTATCTTCATTTACCTGATTCATGGGAAACATTTCTAACAAACTGCTGAGCAGAGTCCATAGGGTTCAAAGGGTCAGACTGAACCAGCTTGGGCAGTACCTTCATTACAACACAAAACCAAGCTGTGCCCAAAGGGTCTAAAGAGTCCTGCATTGTCCATGCCTTAGTCACTAAATATAAACGAACAGTGTGGACAACTTTGTCAAAGCAAGAAACCAAACAGAGATGATAGATTCGAACTGGCAAAATATCTTGGTCTCTGTCAAGAACCAAGCTGGATCTGTTGAGTCCAACTGGCTCAGTACCTTAGTCTCAGTGAAGAACCAAGCAGGGTCAGTTTAGTCTATTGGATCCAGCAGGAGCATCTTTGTGATTCTGTGTTTTACAAAAAATTTGATCATTTTTGTAAAACGTGTCTTTCTCAGCATTCTCTTTTGCCCCTTTTCCACTAGTGCCACTTAGTGTAGTGTCGGTACAGTTCGGTACGGTTCCAAGCTATTACATTAGGCCAGATCCATGGAACCGGCCCTTTTTTATTATCTACTTTGTTGTGGTTCCAAGTGGCCCCAGTCAACACCAAAATGCGACATCAGAACACTGTTCGTCACTGATTGGCTAGGGGGTGGAGTCACCGGTTGCGTCTAAGCTGCCTTTACAAGAACAACTCAAGGCGCCATTTTTTAAATTGTAGCAGTGACATTAGTTGTGTTTCCATCCAATTTTTATTTGAAATTTTTGCGAATTTTTAAAATTTCTAAAGTTATTCATCAAATGTGTTTCCATCTCTCATTTTGCCCATTAACTTTTTTTCAAAATACCCAAAAACCACCTCCACCAACCGCCCAAAACACACCCACTGGAACCGGACTGGAACATCAATGGAAAAGCACCCAAACTGACCCATTCCCACACTGACCGTACCAACACTACACTAAGTGGGACTAGTGGAAAAGGGGCATTACTGATTGGACTGATTTGGTTCTGTTTAAATCCAATGAAAACATGAGAGCTTTTTGACATGTAAAAAATGGACTTTAAATTAGTCCAGGCAATATTTAGATCAGAAGGAGGCCTTGTGGCTCTTCAAGCGAATGCCAGAACATGTTTGGGCTCAAACTGAATTTTATCTTAATGCTTCTCAGAAACATTTTAGGCAGTAAGTTGAAACCCATGCAGGTCATGATATCTGACTTCATGAAAATGAAGCAAATGATCTTCAGTTCTTGGTTTTCAAAAGGTTTTACCTTTTCATTTGTCAGTTCTAAACACCTTTCAGACGAGACATGTGCCACCTTTAGGACTGAGTCCTGTTGAGTTCTGTTGAAGCTGCAGCGCATCATTTCCTAGAACCATGGTTTGTTTCTCTGAACCATTTGGATCATTTTCAGTGGAGACTTAACTTGATGGAGAGCTGACACATGGGCATGATGTTCCTGCAGGGATGAACACTGTTCAGAAACAGAAGCATCATTTTGTCACTTTTTATTCTTTATTGATCTTTCAGTTAACCAGCGTTGTATAAAGTACCCCAAAGTGATACTTGAGTAAAAGTACAAGTATCTTACCAAAAAATTACTTTGGTAAAAGCTAAAGTTTAGTCTCCTTTAGTAAGTAAGTAAATAAAAGTTTATCTATATAGCGCCTTTCACAGAAAAGGATTTCACAAGGTGCTGTGCATCCATTATCAGAAAGAAAAAGCAGAAACAATCACATTAACTGTACAAATTATACATTCAATACATACAATATTTAAAACAAAAACAAAAGGAGATCAATTTATCTCTCACCCTTATAGGTGGAGGGGATGGATACTAGACCGGAATAATACACGATTGTTAGTCAGGGCTTATGAACTCAAATTGTGAGTTTAGGAATATTACTTGAGTAAAAGTCTTAAAGTATCTGATATTTTTTGTACTTAAATATTAAAAGTAAAAGTATTGATTTAAAACGAGCAGTTAGATTTTCTGTAATGACATTTATTAGGAGGTGACCTCAACAAAAACTGCAGAAATGACTATATTGTATCAAAAATAATTAATTTATGTTAAATGTAGGATGCACTAGTCCAGCAGTTTCAGTTTATATACATATATCAAGGCTGCACAAACCTTTTCTCCAAAATGAAAATCTATCTGAGGGCTGCAGCCAAATGCAATAATACATTTCATGAAATGCAAATACTTTTTAGGTACAGTCTTTTTATTTTAATGATTATGTCCTGCTGGAGTGTGACATGATTTGTTTGTGTACAAACTAATACRGTATCAGAGTTTTATATATTAATACTTCTCATTCAACCACAATTAAATTCACTCTATCTAGGAGGCACAATTTATATGGATAGTATTTATTTTTTACAATAAGAAGCTGAAATGAAAACAAGCAAAAATGAAATAAAAGTAACAACTTTCTACTTCTTACCTTTTTTCAAAATGTAAAACGTAGGCTGAAAAATAATTACTCAAGTAAAGTACAGATACCGAAAAATTCTACTTAAGTACAGTAACAAAGTATTTATAATCTGACTATTACTAGAACTCAGACACAGTTCTAAACAAGGTCACATCAGAGCTTTAGAGAGAGCAGGTGGAAGATAGAAGCTATCTGTCAGTGATTAGTCCTTATGAGACTGAAGAGTCTGCAGCTGAGCTCTGATCTGTGGGGTCAGCTGACGGCTCTGGAGTTACAGGCAGGGGGGTATTTTTGGGTTTATTTTGCAGATTTAACCTTTTCCCCTTCATTATTCACCTTAACCTTCTTTCTATTTTTTGTTTTGTTTTGTTTTGTTTTGATGGGGGGTTTGATGATGAATCTTCTCCTGCTCTGTTAAGTACCAGCAGGAGATCGCAGTGCTGCAGGAGAAACTGAGGGCGTCCGTGCAGAAGCTGGAGGAGTACGAGGCCCGCCTGAAGGGTCAGGACGAGCAGGCCCAGAAGGTCCTGATGGAGTACCAGGCCCGGCTGGAGGAGTCAGAGGAGCGTCTGCGCAGACAGCAGGACGATAAAGACCTCCAGATGAAGAGCATCATCAGCCGGTACGGAGCTGCAGATGTGCAGACGTGTTGCCTGTTTGTTCTGGGACTGTAACACGTGTTGTTAACATGTTCAGGCTGATGTCAGTGGAAGAGGAACTGAAGAAGGATCACTCTGACATGCAGGCAGTTGTTGACTCCAAACAGAAGATCATTGATGCACAGGTCAGTGTGTTTCCTAGGAATCATTCCCTGTGCAGTTATTACATAAATTATACATGTATTAAATAAATACTGCCTTCAGATCGGTGGAAAACCAAAGAATGTTTCATTCAAAATAGATATCCTCTGGCTTTTAAGAGTTCAAATTGTCCATCAGATTTTCTCATCTTCCTTTACAATCCAGTGTGGTTCCTATTTATGTCTAATTAAGTTGAAATAATGAGACATAAATAGAACAAATTCTGGCCATAGATTACTGAAAAACACAATTTAAGAAGAGAGTTCGCACAAAAGTTGAGTTAAAACTCGAACTTATTTGATCACAGTAGAAAAAAACAAATCTAATTCAAATATCAATCTTTTGTTAAATAAGTCATTGTTCTAAATGTAAAACTGGGAGGGTGGGTTGGGGGCACAGTATCTGTACAACATATTTACCCCTAATTTACACTACATGCGTTACGTCTCCACTCTGCTCCGACCTCTGCAGCAAATACGCACCCATTATAATCAATGAGAGTGTTTACACTGGCTGCGCAGGGCGGCAGTGAGCAGAGGGCGATCCGGCAAAATTAGATCCAATCCTATTTCTGCTGGATGCCGAAGCTGAGCCGGAGTCAATTTTTAAAGATTACGTCGCACCAACAGGAAGAGGAACGAGCACAACATCTGTATTTTCAAAATAAGACACTATTAGGTGGAATAATTTGTCGGAATAAAGTCAAAATCCCAGCTATATTAATAAATATATGGATGTATTTCTACACAAATGCTGTCAGAATGTATCGTTCTGTTTGGGAAGCAGATGGAAACATGTATCATGAAGCGTATGTGTACACACACAATACATGTGGATTTTATTTTGAAATCAGAAGTTTCAAAAAGACGACAGCGATACAGTTTCAACATAGATATCAAAAGCCTTTATATCATTTTTTTCAGCTGTGTTTGGAGTTTGTCTTTCACAGAATTAATTATTTTTTGCTCTGACTTCCACATTTATCACTGAATTTATCGCGCAATCTCTTTCCTCCACACGCTCCCTCTTCTGTGTGTCACACCGGAGCGGAGCTGAGTGGAGGGGAGGCTGTATAAACTGGGGCACAAACAGCTGCGACCTGCGCACCGCAGCGCAGCGGAGCAGAGACACATGTAGTGTAAATCCGGGGTTAGGCAAATTCCAAAACAAATTCAAATACAGTTAATGTCTTTCCTGTCCACAGCAATGAGGTATGATCAAACTAACACACATCCGTGAAACAACTTTTAATCTCAGCCAAGAACAGATTAATGAACAGAGTTATTATGGTTTAGGGTTATTGTGGGTGGGGTTAGGGTTATTATTGGTTACAGGGGTATATGTGTGGAAAAGCTGTCAAAATATCCTTGTCTGGGCAGTTGGAAAAGATAGTCAAAGAAATTGTTTTGACTGTTATTTACCACCTTAAGACCATGGCCTCTGTTTTTTGTTGCTTTTCCATGAAGTAGTTTTTGGAATGGATCCTGTGTTGATGAATTTAGGGCCAGTTATTAGAAGTAGACCCTGGAACACAAGGATGCTCCAGCTGTTATCACTGACTCATCAAACCTTGGTGTCTTCCATGGTTCATTGATTCTCAAATATTTTTATGACAAGTACCACTTCAGAAAATACTTTGTTCTCCAAGTGCCACTATTATGACAGACATTGAAAACCTTTTTTCGTGCTTCTACTGAAACATTTCAAACAGATGGAGGATTTGATATAAACAACAACACTGAACAAACGTACCTAACCTGATCAACCTCAGCTGTACTTTCTTGGGCTCTAACAGTCAAAATACCAGATGAACCCAAACTCCAGTACTGAAAATGTGTTCCTAAATACTTTGAACAATGTTCATATTTTAACCCCTATGAGAAGGAATCCTTCATCAGTCTGTGCCATTTCTCCTTTTTCAGGAGGAACCTTTAATACCTCTGACTCTAATCGAAGGGTGCAGTTTAAGATGTGTTTCATTGCAGATTTTCACAAAATGTAGTTTGCCTTCAGTGAATTTTGCACTTATACTGTGAAGGTTGTGCCGAAGCGCATGCTATGTAAACTGAGGTAACATTTATGCTTTTGGTCTGTGGGAGGAAACCGCAGTGCCTAGAAAAAACCCACACATGCACAGAGAGAACATGCAAACTCTACACAGAAACCAGGATTTGATCCAGCAAACTTCTCGCTGAAAGGCAACAGCTCAGTCAACTGAGACACAGTCCCACCTGCTCCAAAACAACTAAATGCAAATCTGATATAGATTGAATCAAATTTCCTTAATGTTTTGCACCTTTTGTTATAAGCAGGTCTTACTGACTTCACTGGTTCAGTATCAGTGGTGGGCAGCACTAATCCAAAAATTAGCTCCGCAATTTTTAAAGCGCCGTAAGAAAATTTGTATTCAGTAAACTGAAGTTGAGACGATAAACACAAATGTTAAATAAAAATGATTTGTAGGAGGAATGAAGCCATACAACACCAGAACTCTGGAATCTGAGTGAGGTTTATTGTCGCTGAAGCAGACAGGAAACCCACACCGCCCGGAAAACAGGAAGTCCATGTATTTATACAGTTTCTTCAATGCCTTCGCTCGCCTCCTGCTGACCTACGGCTGAGTCACAGGCATTCAGACAAAATTCTCAGCTAATGTCATTCAAACGTTTAATTATGTGTTGTAAAAGATGTTTCAGACATGTAACTATGCCTATTTCAATCAAAACATAATAGATTAAACACTGTCAACATTACAAAAAGGAGAACTTAAGAATATAGTGTTGTGCTTTTAACATCAGTACTAATCTCCCTAACTCTAAATTTCTTCACAATCCCCCTGTTCACATGACCAAATCATGTGAACAAAATAAGAAATTTATAAAAACTATATGATCGCAAAAAGGCACAAATGTGTATGCAAATTAACCTAAGTGATACAACACAAAGTGGAAAATTTCTAACATCCCACCCCCGATATAAAGCAAAATGATCCATTTATTCCACACCAATCAACAAAATAAAAACCACAAACTGAACTACTGTATTGTCAAATACCAACCAGGTCAGCTGTGTTTATTCTTTTGAGGTCAGAGGTTCCAGAACATGACCTACCGTCAGGAACAAGTCCTCAGCACCGTTCCATCTCCCCCTGTCTTCTGTGGCAGACTGGCCTGGTTACTAACGACATCCCCGCACATTAAGATTAAACCTTAGCTCATCAACAACTAAACCTTACAATGAACAGTAAAAACAAACCAAACAATATGCTAAAACAGTTCTAAACATATCCTACTTAGTGTATCACTTCTATAAAAATAATTAGCAATGAAAAACATAAAAGAAATTCAAACAACATTTAACAAAAATCATTTACCATTGATCCGTTAACCTATAAAAATCATGTCCGACTACGTGAGTGTAACTATTTCAGTTTTATCATTCTACTTCAAAAATGTCAGCTAGAGATGTTGGGGCTTTTTTCTCCATGCCGTCACTCCTTGTCCTCTTAGTATGGATCGTGCGATGGTCCCAGGGATGGAATCCTCCTGTTGTCTCATCTCTTAGGCCAAAAGGTGGATGTTGCTCTGAGATGCTCAAGCTAGTTGTCTGGGAGATGGTCTTTGAAAACACCCTTATGAAGAAGCTAATAACAACAACAACCACCATAAATGCAATCAGACCACTACCCAGCCACCATTAGAGACTCAAGCCTTTTTATTTTTACCAAGTTTACCAACCACTGAGAAACCACTGTGCTAAACCATCTCCTCAGACCCCCTTTCTACACCAGAAATTAGCCAAAGAATATACTACTTTAATGTTCCACCACCCAAATGTCCAGTTAACTACTCTTCAATGATCAAGCAAATAACATAATTCAAATGCCACCGATCATGTCAGTTAACCACAATGTACCTCCCTACTGCCACCTTCTGGCCCAACACGTGTAACTGTTTTCTAATGAAAAACACTAATGTGACATAAACTGTAACTCAACCTTCGACATCTGTTGTACCCCCTTTAACAACCATCAACTTAAATTATAAATCCTGAAAGAGAATGGTTACGCATGCGCAGATAGTTGTTCACATCAGATTGATAACATCAATCAGCTGTATTGTCCTGAAAATTGAACATTAGTTTTCACCACTTCAGTGAAACCTTGTGAAGTACCACCTGGATGCCAAATTTGTATTACTCCAAGCTTGAGACCTGTGGGATTTTTTATGTTTTTATACAGTCAAAATTATAAAGTTAAATATTATCATACATGTTGTCTTTACACTGGACTCAAACAGTTTTTTTCTGTTCCACCTACAGTCACATCCAACGTTTCTGTCATATCACTTTAACCCATGGAGGTCTGAGTTGACCTGTAAAAACCTTTCTCTGAATGATCTATTCACAGAGCAAAGATGAAACTGAATCAACACCCCTTTCATTGGAATTGAACTGATATGTCTTTCTGCTGTGTAACCCTTTTAATTGACCTTTTGAGCATATAACAAAGTTGTTATATACATACGACACATTTTAAAAACCTTTAATTTTCCAGTTGTATTCTGGGACAGAGGAAGTCATCATTTCCCCAGTATTCAGTTAAACATTCTCCTCCCCCTTTTTCAATTTAGCTTCTCCGATTGGCCAAAATCTCACTTAGTTCCTTTAAAACAAAAAGTTACCAATATTATAATCACATTCAAAAACAACAATAAACCCATTCTAATTAATTACTCCCCCTTTATTTATTTACACATCCTGTGTAAATGAATAAAGGGGGCTCCTGCTAAAGTGTAAATGAAATATTTAGGTCCGCAATTAGTGGATTTCTGCTTTAGCTGAATTGTGCCCACCACTGTTCACTAGGTTTGTGTTGATTCATTTCCATTTGGACAATTTCCTTGAATCACTTGTCTCTTTTTTGCTGTTGAACTGTACAGCACAGTTCAACCTATGATGAGCTTTAACATTTGTAAAATTTCCACAATGGGTCCCGAGTACTTGTACCTGCACCATGGTCTTAGCCAACTGGGTTTGTTCGAGAGTTTAGAGTGATTTTATTCCCACTTTGTGCCTCATTTATGAAACGCCTAACCTATGACGGTTCTTCAGGCTCGAGCCTCACAGAAAATCCTGAGAAAGTTTCAGGATCAGACTCTGGACTCAGCCTCGGTGTTTTATCTGCAACTCTTTCTGTTCTGTTTGCAGGAGAAGAGGATAGCATCTCTGGATGCTGCCAACGCTCGTCTGATGAGCGCTCTCAGTCAGCTGAAGGAACGCTACAGCATGCAGACCCGCAACGGGATCTCCCCCACCAACCCCAGCAAACTGCAGATTACAGAGAACGGAGAGTTCAGGAACAGCAGCAACTGTTAGACGGACGTCCTGAGGGTGTACAGGTCTTTAAAGACGGGATTTGGAAGAGCATCAGAGACACTAAGGGGGGTAGGAGCAGACCGTACATCTGCAAAACCTTTAGGAGACGGTGTGAGAGTGACGAGCAGCGTGACGGGCGGATCCCCTGCCAGAGGAGGCGGGGCCTTTGTTGCCAGAGTGACTGACAGAGGCGGAGCTTGTATATAAGGACTCTCAGATGTCTGTCTTTCCGTCCAGTCGCTGGGATAAACCACTACACAACCACCACCAGAAATGATCTTCATATTCACCCTGTCCTCCTTTTCCTCCTCATGGTTTAGCAGAGCCATAAAACCAATAGTTCTTTTTCTTTCTGAGGCTTTATTTTTAAGTGTTTAAAAAAAAAACCAAATAGGAGCTAAAAATTGATATTTTTTTAGTCTTAAAACAATCTTCTTCACTTCCTGTTTAACTTGCAGGTAGCTGAGTGAAACAAACCCCTCCCAAAAAATGAACCACAGAAAAAAAGGCAAATAGGCTGATTGGTTAGTGCTTCGTTTGTGCAGGTTTGTGCCGTTGAAACGGTTGTTTGTGCTGCTATAATTTATGAGATATTCAAATTCAGTTTATTTATATAGCACCATGTTACAACATACGTTGTCTCAGGGCACTGTACATACTGTAAAAAGAACAATCTAAAGAAGAAGCCAGCAGATTGTGTTGAATCACTTCATCACAGTCTCCCATCCTGAGCAAACGGTGGAGAGGAAAAACTCCCTGCTAATCAGGAAGAAACCTCCAGCAGAACCAGGCTCAGAACAGGCGAACATCTGCCTCGACCGGCTGGTTGGAGGACAGGAAAGAGACACAGGTAAACACAGAAGAACTGGTCCAGGACTGGTCCAGGTGTCCCTTCCTCTGGAAAAGAGACAAAGAAAAAAACATGTTATTGATAGAAATAATTACAATGAACATGTAGAGAAGAGAGACTAAAGACAACAGCAGAGTGAGGAAATGTGCTCAGTTTGTGCTCCAGCAGTCTAAGTCTATAGCAGCAGAAATGAAGAATAATTCAGGAAACCTAAGTCTAACTATAGAATTTATCAAAAAGGAAAGTCTTCAGTCTAATCTTAAAAGTAGACAGAGTTTCAGCTTCATGGACAGAAACTGGAAGTTAGTTCCACAAGAGAGGAGCTTGATTACTGAAAGCTCTGCCTCCCATTCTACTTTTAGAAACTCGAGTATTACACGTTATAATTTCGGACGATCACATGACGGCCTGAATTGTTTACATCTGTGACAAATGTGCTCATGGTTCCCAACCCTGGTCCTCAAGTACCCCTATATCCAGCTTGTTTTACTTGTCTCCCTGCTCTTCAGCAGGTCTTCAGAAGATTGTTAATCACTCATTCATTCAAACCAGGTGTGTCAAATCAGGGAAACATCTAAAAATCACTGCTTTAAATGTTGACCAACACCTCAAAAACTTCTCTGAGTTTGATGAGACATTTTAAAAATATAATAATGACTCAGTTTTATGTTGTTTTTTTTTTGTATTGCCTCTGGAAGCCATTGATTCTTTGCCATTTATTTGTAAATAATAAATCAGATAACATGTATTAAAGCAGTGATTCTCAACCCTGGTCCTCGAGGACTCCTTTCCTGCATGTTTAAATGTTTCCCTGATTTGACACACCTGCTTTGAATGAATGAGTGATTGACAATCTTCTGAAGACCTGCTGAAGAGCAGGGAGACAAGTAAACCAGTTAAACAAGAAGAAGAAGAAGAAAAGTAAACCATGCTGGATAGGAGTACTTGAGGGCCAGAATTGGGAACCACTAGACAGTCAGTGGGTGGTGAAATCCGTTGTCACAGACGTAAACGATTCAGGCCAAGTCACGTGATCATCCGAAATTTTAACGTGTAATATCTAATAAACTATAGCAGCACAAACAATTGTTTCAACGGCACAAACGAAGCACTACAAAATTCGACTAGTTTGGTTCATTTTGGAGCGAGCGGGTGGGATGGTGACCACTGAATGACCCTTACAAATAATCTTTAATATATAAATAAAAAAAAACGTAGCAGCACAAACGCAGCACTAACCACTCAGTCTATATGCCTTTTTTTTCTGTGGTTCATTTTTTGGGAGGGGTTTGTTTCACTCAGCTCTGACCACCCCCCACATGGAGCACTTTGTGAAAAGCTATTGGTACAAGGAACGCATTAACAACACACCTCCTGTTTTCTCCAAAAAGGCATAACTTATACTGTGGATTTGTAAAGAATGCAGCAGTAAACTGTAAACTCTTTGATGTATTATAAAATCTAAGTAAATGTGATATTATATTAATGAAATTTAAAATAGATGTATGCAGGTCTTTCCTTCTATAAACACATATACTTATATTTGATAAACGGATCCCTTTATTTAGGAGTGAAATCTAGTTTTATTTGTATTTTTTCTTGGATGAAGAGGATGTAGTGTGTTTCATCGTTTGGACCCCAGAGGAAGAGAACCACACCAATGGTCCTGAGAACATTTAGTGTTCCACCCTTTGATGCACAGTTAGGTGGTCCGATGTTCTTCTGGATCATGGGTGGTGGTCTCTAGTTGCACAGGAGCTTTGAGAGAGGAGAGGAGATGCACTCCCTCACACAAACACTGCAGCGGTCTTACTTTCTCTCCAACTGCTTGATTTGTTGATGGTGAAGAAGCTGCATCTAAACTGTGACTCTTCACATCTCCTCCACGTCTGTTCTTTTTTACCACTCTGTTTCCTTCTGAATGTACAGACGCCGTCTGGTCCTTCTTACATCTCCTGTCATCGTTGGCATCTGGATTTTTTGCATTTGCGTATCTATTTTTCTCACCTGTAACATACGGGAGATGTGAGGCTCTGCATGTTTCAGAAGCGGGGTTAGAGTTGTGCAACAAACACACAGATTTATACTGGAGTGCATCTCGAGAATATGGGGTGCCGTTTGCAAAGTTACACAGTCAAAAATTACCACCAATATTTTGGTTTTATTTAGCCTTTTATAAGAAAAAAAGAACAGATTTATTTTTCAAAGTCAGTTTTTCACCATATGATTCATACATTTATAAATGTCAT